ATTTAATAATTCTTACAGGGGATAGGGCACCAAAAGGGAGTTGGGGAGCGTTTGGGGAACATCTGTAACGGTCCCCGTTACAATTAGCACTAGTTCTATATTGTTCTTGAAAGACGTTAATGGTAATCTTAACAACCAAGCTTTATTATAAAACGTTATGACTCGGACTTTTCACTCGTCAACTTCTATTACACAGCAATCTACCTTAATTACATACATATGGGGTTTATAACTTTCAGTTGCCTCGATATACCTTCAACTTTTAGTTGGTACGTGATCAAATCTACTGGTGTCACAACAGTATTAATTTCTGCTATATATTCTTACCAAAAATGCGCAAGTTTGAGTAGATGTAACTAATTCAAAAGAAACTTCTGAGAAGTTTCCTTTTCAGATCTTGTAAAACCATTCTTTATAAAGATTTTAGTACCAAAAAATACATAGCCATCCAGCAAGGCACACAAGTTTGTTTCGGTCGAAGTCGAGCAGGTGCTTTAAAATCTAGTCCAGGGCCTAATCATTCCCCACTCTTGACAGTATATAGAAAAATCAGCGCGCCCTAAATTTAAATAAATCTGGTCAATACAGGAAGTTTACATGTTGTTTTTCATCTCATAAAAAAAAATCATCTCCAGTCTCGTATCAAAATGCCCGAATCGGAAGGGAAGATTCCGGGAATATTTTCCGTCAGCCATGATTTGACGTGAACCAAAGTGTAATACTGTTATTGTTATGTTTATCACTCTGTTCATAGGGTTCTTTTAACACACACAACATTAACTGACTATGGTTTATTCATCAGTCTACAACACATCATGGCTACTGGCCAATGTTCATTTTCATTGTCATCATCTGAACAGTCCTGGTTTTCGGTCACAAAATTTAACTTGGATTTCTTCTTTTGTTTCTTATGTTGCACGGATTTCTTTTTCGAGCACATTTTATGTACAGTGATCCACCGTTATAACGCCAACATTTGTACCTTGGTCATTTTGGCATTATAACGGGGGTGGCGTTATATCGGGGGGAGAGAAGTGACGTGCACAAATAAATGAAAACAAATTTATTATCAATGTTCATGTACTACATGTATTTCAAGATTTCAATGCCTTTATATCAAATAAACGAATATAAAAGTTTACGTATGCTTGTCAGAAAATCAGTTTTTAGCTCTACTGGTCAGAGACCAGAAGAGCTTATGTGATAGTAATGCGTCCGGCGTCCGTCCGTCTGTCTGTCTGTCTGTCTGTCTGTCTGTCCGTCTGTCTGTCCGTCTGTCTGTAAACAATTTTTGAAAACGCTACTCCTCCTACATTTTTAGTCTGATTTCAATATTACTTGGCACACAAGTAGACTACATTAAGATACATAGAATAGTGCATCGGTTTTTGATTTCGATGAACGGTGTTGCCATGGTTACTAAAAATAGAATTTTCTGTGAAATTCCTTAAAATCTTCTATTTCTTTGTCTTTTTTAACTCTACTGGTCAGAGACCAGAAGAGCTTATGTGATAGTAATGCGTCCGGCGTCCGTCCGTCTGTCTGTCTGTCTGTCTGTCTGTCCGTCTGTCTGTAAACAATTTTTCAAAACGCTACTCCTCCTACATTTTTAGTCTGATTTCAATATTACTTGGCACACAAGTAGACTACATTAAGATACATAGAATAGTGCATCGGTTTTTGATTTCGATGAACGGTGTTGCCATGGTTACTAAAAATAGAATTTTCTGTGAAATTCCTTAAAAACACTACTCCTTCTACAGTTTTGGTCTGTTTTCAATATAACTTGGCACACAAGTAGACTACACAAAGATACATAGAATAGTGCATCAGTTTTTGATTTCGATGAACGGTGTTGCCATGGTTACTAAAAATAGAATTTTCTGTGAAATTCCTTAAAAACGCTACTCCTTCTACAGTTTTGGTCTGATTTCAATATAACTTGGCACACAAGTAGACTACACTAAGATACATAGAATAGTGCATCAGTTTTTGATTTCGATGAATGGTGTTGCCATGGTTACTAAAAATAGAATGTTCTGTGAAATTCCTTAAAAACGCTACTCCTTCTACAGTTTTGGTCTGATTTCAATATAACTTGGCACACAAGTAGACTACACAAAGAAACATAGAATAGTGCATCGGTTTCTAATTTTGATGAACGGTGTTGGCATGGTTACTAAAAATAGAATTTTCTGTGAAATTCTTTAAAAACACTACTCCTTCTACAGTTTTGGTCTGATTTCAATATAACTTGGCACACAAGTAGACTACACTAAGATACATAGAATAGTGCATCGGTTTTTGATTTCGATGAACTTTGTTGCCATGGTTACTAAAAATAGAATTTTCTGTGAAATTCCTTTAAAACGCTACTCCTTCTACAGTTTTGGTGTGATTTCAATATAACTTGGCACACAAGTAGACTACACTAAGATACATAGAATAGTGCATCGGTTTTTGATTTTGTTGAACGGTGTTGCCATGGTTACTAAAAATAGAATTTTCTGTGAAATTCCTTAAAAACACTACTCCTTCTACAGTTTTGGTCTGAATTCAATATAACTTGGCACACAAGTAGACTACACAAAGATACATAGAATAGTGCATCAGTTTTTAATTTTGATGAACGGTTTTGCCATGGTTACTAAAAATAGAATTTTCTGTGAAATTCTTTAAAAACGCTACTCCTTCTACAGTTCTGGTCTGATTTCAATATAACTTGGCACACAAGTAGACTACACTAAGATACATAGAATAGTGCATCTGTTTCTGATTTCGATTAACGGTATTACCATGGTTACTAAAAATAAAATTTTCTGTGAAATTCCTTAAAAACGCTACTCCTTCTACAGTTCTAGTTTGATTTCAAAATAGGTTGGCACACAAGTAGACTACACAAAGATACATAAAATAGTGCAATGGTTTTTGATAAGTACAAACCAGTAGAGCTACAGTCTCGACAGAGACTTCTGGTTTGAAAAACAGATCAATTATTGATTGTGTTGATGGTTTTATTTAAATAGCTACTCCAGTAAAAAGTTTATTTCAGATTTAGTTGTTGATTCTTTTGATTCTAAATGCCGTAAGAAACATTCAAGTTCCTGTCTGGACTCTACGTATGTAGGAACACGCCTTTTCCATCTTTTCACATCAATTTTCCATAGTTCCGTAAAATAAATTGAAATTTCTTGCTGCGAACGCTTTGGATTTTTTTTCGTGATATTTTATGATTTCCAGTTTTTGTTTCAAATTCAAGATAACCCGCCTTGATTTCGGCGAGTCAGCCATATTCTGACTTCAAAAAGAAGAGTAAAGATTTGAACTCAAATAATTATGTATGTAACTTATTATTTACTCCAAACTTTGATACCTGGAAGACTAATGACGGATAATTGCTTAAGACTGTTCACTGAAATTCTCTCCCCGACGATATAATTGGCGGTAATTATCGGGGTGATTATAACGGTAATGGACAGATTTGTACCTGAAATACGTTGGCGGATGGCGATAGGCGGGGGATAGCGGTAAAACGGGGTTTTATATAGCGAGGAAATCGGGACTTGACTTTTTTTTGGCGGTAGGCGGGGGTGGCATTATAACGGGGGGAATTATAACGGGAGAGCACTGTATATGTCCCATTTCCTGACATGTGTGACATTTACTGTTCTTGTAAAAGCACTTATCGGGTGTGTGGTTAGTCTTCGGATAGTCAGTTAATGTTGTGTGTGTTAAAAGAACCCTATGAACAGAGTGATAAACATAACAATTGGCGACGAGATTTACAACACCACAACCGCAAATACTGGTACTATGGCTGTCTACGGAAAAATAGAGAACTACGAGTTCGACATGAACTGGGACGAGTACATTGAAAGGTTAGAACATTCTTTAACTGCCAATGGAATTGACGATAATGACAAAAAGAAGTCTATATTATTGACAGTATGTGGTCAGAGGATGTACGGACTTATTCGTAATTTAACGTCCCCGGAAAAGCCATCTGATAAATCCTATGCAGAGTTGAAAACTTTGATAGCGCAACACTTGAAACCAAAACCACTAGCGATTGCGGAGCGATTTCGATTTTACCAGAGAAATCAGGGAAAACAGGAAACTGTTAGTCAGTATATTGCTGAACTTAGAAAGCTTAGTGAACATTGTGATTTTGGTGAGTTTTTGAATCAAGCATTACGTGATCGTTTAGTGTGTGGTCTTTCATCACTGGCAACCCAGCGGAAATTATTAGCTGAGGACAAATTAGAGTTAAAGAGAGCCGTGGACATAGCAATTTCTATGGAACTCGCTGAGAACAAAGCCCGCAAACTAAAGGCTGACGCTCAGGATGCTCACGGACATGAAACTGTACACAAGGTCAGTGTTGTAAAGAGTAAACCTTGCTACAGGTGCGGGAACTATGGTTTATTCATCAGTCTACAACACATCATGGCTACTGGCCAATACACAAAACGGAAAGCATGCGTAATATCTAAAAGATGAACCCAATATGATATGAACTCCGGATTTCCGGTATAATGGACATAACAGTTATGACACCTGCAGAGAAGCCCTTCGGCTTTGATCTCATGACCAACTAAAAGTTCATTTCGCAGAGAACTTTTTCACATTGTTGTTTATTTCTTAAACGAACGTGTTACAGTATTCTTCCGACAGTCCAATTGTTCTTATGACTTGCATAATTATTAAATATAATCATATACATGTAGTATACTCGTTATGCATATCTGAAAGTTTATCTCAATTCTTTTGAAGGTACCAACATGAAACATTTTCTTTAAATTTTATTATCAAGTCTTTCATTTATTAATTCCCAAAGAAATACTGTAATTATGTTTTATTACCTTTTTAATTCTAGGACTGGAGAAATCTGCAAAAATAAATACAGTACTAGTACATGTATTCAACTCTGAGTAAAACGCAATGAATGATTTGACATACACCTACATGTTCATAAGTATACAATAAAATACATATTGTAGGTACTGGTGAAAAACAGTCGTTGCTAAATAGATTTCTGGATGAGAACGGAGAATTCTCTAAGGCAAGCAACTTAGTAAATCTTGTTCAAATTTTGATTGAAAATGGTGCCTCCGTCAACGAATGTGAAGAGGGATTCGCTTCACCTCTGATAAAAGCTGTCAGACTTTCGTCATTTGAACTTGTGGATTTGTTACTCCGACAAGGAGCAAACGTTAATCACCATGGAAAGAACGGATTTACAGCATTACATGAATGTTGTATCAAGGGTAAGCAATAAATTCTTAAACCAACCTTTAAAATGTTGAGAAATAAATAAAAACAACTAAATGCAGCTGTTTCAAGTACACAAAAAAAATTAAAAATTATTAAAACTATATGATGAATAAAAAAGGTACGGTTTAAGCTTTATTGTGCCCTAAAAATTTCATGATTTCAAAAAGTTTTGAAACTGGCTGAAATATTAGTCAAGAATATAATTGTAATAAATCCGAAAGAATATGTCTTGAAGGAATACAATTCTGAAAATGTGACGTCATTAATTTGATCCACCTCAATTTTAAAGAGAAAAAAATCTAAAAAATCATTTTAAAGGTTCTTTTCCTTTAGAATATACATGTAGTGTCCACAGCCCTGACCAACTTTATGTTTTGGATATGTTGTGTAAAGTTCTTTGAAAAATCACATATCTCAAAATCTTTGTGGGTGATGCCTGTGGACAATATCAACTGAAACAAAAATTTCATTGAAATAGTGACTTCTGCAACTTTTTTAAAGAAAATACGTGAAAATGCACAAATTTATGACGTCACAATTAGCATTGAGAAGGTAATGAGAAACAAATATGATATTTATGCATGGAATTCCAAAGATCCAGAAAACATGAGTTTAACTTATTTTACATCACTTTTATTTTTAAGAAAAACACAGGGCAAGATTGAAACCGTCCCTTTATCTTTTTCGATGCAAGATTCCATCAACTTTAATACAATAATCTTGAACTCGATGAAAAAATATCTCTTAGCCTAACGTCTTGTATAGATATTTAACCTATCTTTCAAGGTAAATTTGAAGTAGAGGACCCTAACACAGAAATCTTCAATCTCCTATTAGGAGCAGGAGCCTCAGTGAACAGCCAAGCAAGCAGTGTGAACACACCAGTGACTGTAAGGATAAATAAAGGCTGTTTCGTTTTAAACAATGAGAAAAAGCACGGTCTTTTCAAATTTGTTTTCAATTTCTTTAAAAAGGGAATCTATCCTGACAGACAGAATAAAGAGGAACTACTTGCTTGATGTTAGCAGTTAGTAATTACAGTCTCATCAAGCAACTTCTAGATATTGGTGCAGATCCAACAGTTCAAGACCAAAATGGAAACACCGTATTGCATCATTTGTGTATGTCTCCTTTCATGTAAATATATATTTATTACTAGTATATACAAACAAGATGTGTTTGTGAAACACTGATGCCCCCGTATGGCAACATAGCAAAGATTTAACTTTTCTTAAATGCAAATGTAATTAATTGGCACAGAAGTAGGGTATTCTCATTGGAAAACAATTGTGAAATTTGAAAGTAAGCCAATGTTCAAGTTTTTTAATTTCAACAAGTACAGAAATCAAGGGTCAGAAGGTCAATGTATTTGGTATCAAATGAAAGGTATTGCCACAGAGAATACTTATATATAGAGTATGAAAGGCCTAGCCCTAACCGTTCAGAGTTATGGCCAAGAAAATTTTTTTTTTAAGTTGGTCAAACTGCAAGGTCAAAGTTCTTGTTATCAAATGAAAGGTCTTGTCAGAAGGATAAAATATGTCAAATATAAAAGCACTAGCTCTAACCCTTTAAAAGTAATGTCAAGGTTTGCTTTTTTAAAGTAGGTCAGTCTCAAATGTCAAGGTCAAATGGTCAAAGTTTTTGGTATCCAATGAAGGGTCTTCTCACAAGGATTACATTATACAATTATTGACTTTTGATGAGGTCTACTCGTGACTATACAGACCTGGTCAGGTATAGGTTGACCGAGGCCGAAGGCCGAGGTTAACCAATACCTGACCAGGTCTGTATAGTCACGAGTAGACCGAATTCAAAAGTCAATAACCGTTTTATTAAATGATGAGGAATTTTACAACACTGCTGACTCTTTCATTCTTGTCTCCTTCAAATATAAACATCCATAATGTAAAGTGTAATTACACTTTTTACGTGTTGATATACTTCAACAGCTAAACAAATATTAGTTAAAAAGTTAAAAACAATATTAATAAACAATAAATGCTCAACCATTTACTTTCAAAAGTTCGTAATCTCCTTGGTAATGGCGTCTGACATGTTTTACATTCACACCGACACATGCTTTGAAACACGCAATCTGATTGGTCGAAAAAGCTGTAAGCAAATCTATGGTTGGTCGAGAGGGAAAACCCGAATAAACCTCCCAGAACGTCATTTGAGGTTAACTCACTCTGAGGTACACACTAGTAAATGGCGTCTAGACCAATCAGAGAGCACCAAAATTCCTTATCATTTAATAATATTATATGTAGTATGAAAGCACTATCCCTTACCGTTCAAAAGTTATGGCCAAGGTTAAAGTTTTTTCACAAGTACGGAAATCTACAATGTCAAGGTCAAAAGGTCAAGGTTGTTGGTATCCAATGAAAAGACTTTTGACAAAGATTACATATTTGATGTATAAATGTCCTGGTATCTACTGTTCAAAAGATATGGCCAAAGTAAAAGTTTAAAATTTTCATGTAAAAGTTGATAAAACTCCAAGGCCAAGGTCAAATGGTACCCATAGAAAGGTCTTGTCACAAGGAATACACGTGAAATATGAAAGTCATAGCTCAACTATATCAAAAGTTATGGGCAAGGTAAAAGTTTTTGCGGACAAACAGACAGACAGACGGACGGACACTACAAAAACTATATAACCCTGAAATTTTGTTTACTGGGACATAAAAAGATGTCTTTTTTGAAACAGTGACGCCCACATATCGCAACCTAGTTAAGTTTAAAGTTCCCAAATGCAAATCAATTATAAAAGCAGGTCAAACTCCAAGGTCAAAGTTGTTAGTATCCAATGAAAAGTCTTGTCACAAGAATTACATATGTTAAATATGAAAGCCCTAGCCAGTACCTTGCCCTGGCCAGGGTTCAAGTTTTTTAATAGTTTGTCAATCTCCAAAAAGTCAAGTCAAAAGGTCAAAGTTCTTGGATAAAAGTCCTTGCATCAACCGTTCAAAGTTTTGGCCAAAGTAAAAGTTTGGGTTTTATTTGTGTGAAATTGTTTCAAACTCCAAGGTCAAAAGGTCTCCAAACGAAAGGTCTTATCACAAGGAATACACTCGTGAAATATGGAAGCCATACCCCCTTCTAGTCAGAAGTAATGGGCAAGGTTAAAGTTTTGGCGGACACACAAACAGACAGATAGACGGACAGGGCAAAAATATTTACCCAGAATTTTCGATTACAGGGGCATAAGAAACTTTTTACATAGATTTGAATCTGATGATAACTTGCATCACTAATAACATTTAACAAACAGAATCGATTTCATTTTAGACTTGTAAGCTATTCAGTATGATTTTAGGTTCAACTACATTAAAAAGAAAAAAGAAAGGAGAAATTCTGGAGCTTCTGCTTAAAAGTGTGACGGATATTAATGTTTTAAACCACGAAGGATACACTCCTCTAAACCTAATGATAAAGGAAAAGACAAATTTGAATGTGGAAGATGTTCAGGACTTACTTATGCAAAAAGCTGGTCCAAATATATGCCTCAAAGGATGCAATTCTCCGTTGATAAATTCACTTTTGAGATGTAAACTGGACGTTGCTTCTTATTTATTGAAAGCTGGCGGGGATGTAAAGCATGAAGGAAAATCTGGTTTGACTGCTCTTCATGCCGTTTTAAACTTGGAGCTTACTAGCGGTAAATCAGACATTTAACTCTTCAAAATTATTTGTAAAAGTTTAAGATAACGAACGGCAATGTGACGTTGTGGTAAGAATGTCCTCTCCAGAGCCGCGGAATAAGAAGTTGGTCATTACGTCGCAGGTTAGAATCCCACTGTGGGACGTGGAGACCGGTCCCTTGGATGAGATTCTATAAATCAAGTTCCGGTGTCGCAGTAGGTGCTGGCACGAAAATGATCCCTCAGTGATCAATGGCCCTTAGTGCCGCGTTTAGAACAAAATTGTTCGATCGACAGGGGAAGCTTACTCCTCTATGACATCGGACCCCATCTCTGATGTTTCAGGAGGTCTGTGTTTGCTCTGCTCCCGATTTGCTTTGTTTGAAAGGAGACTGGGTAATTCATTATAGTAACAATCACATTTTTCGGTGTACTAAAATTAATTCTATGTTTTCACAATTTATAAGGCTCCTAAAAGATTCATTTGCTAATAAGTAATATGTTTATTGTGATGAAATATTTAAATATACCTCATTCTATTCTTCTAATGTTTTACAAGTTGGTATTAATGCAAGGAAAATGTATTAAATGATTCAAAAGGATACATCACAGGGCGAATAGAGATGATTCAGAAACTTTTGGCAGCTGGTTCTGATGTGAATAAACGAGAATTGGAAGGCAACACAGGATTAATGTTTTGTTTGAAATCATCGTGCAAGCGAAGAAAAGGTATGGACAGAAAAGTAAATAGTTAACAGTAGTTGTAATAATATATTTGTTTGAAAATTACCCCCTCTTTTTATTGTATGCTTAAAGTGACATATTTTCATTTGTACAAGAACGTTTATAGATGGTGTTAAATGAATCATTCAGAAAGAAGAACAGGTTGTGTATCAGATTGATTAATTTGTTTGACGTGTATTTAGATTATTTTCTTCATCAAAATTAAAATTTCTTACGACCCACTTGCATTTCATTTGAAATACCGAAATTGATTCATTTGAAATAGATTAAAGAATGCATTTATGAATTATGTGATACTAGTATATCTGGGTAATTCAAAAATGAGTGTTTCGAGATTTATATGCTTGGAATAGGATATGATACATGTATATACAAAAACACCTCAGAAAAGTCTTTAAAATATTTTTATCTAGATGAAGTACTGCCAGTGATCGAATTCCTTTTGGAAGCTGGGGCAGATCCTAATATCAGTGATATCTCCGGCGGACGGCCACTGGAAATTATTATTAAATCATTATCGAAGAGCAGGAATGAAACGAAGATTCAAGAATTAGTCGAAATGATGTTTTTGTATGGGGCAAAATGCAACGAATATGAAAAAGGACAAGACTCTGTTTTACATATGGCTGTATCCAACGGACTTCAAGGCGTTGTTCAGATCTTGGTCAATAGAGGTGCAGATGTAAATCATAGGGGAAAGCATCAACAGATTCCACTTCATCGTTATTTCTCGTCAGGTATTTAAAACCGGTCTCGTAAAGACTAGTGGTGGGCATTCACTTAGTGAAAGAATTTCCGGGGTTTAATTCCCCTTTGTCGCACTGCATCCACCTTTAGATGTAAATATAGGTATTGGCTGTTCCTTCGCAGCCGTTCGGTCACTTTCTATTATAAAATTATAATATTGCATAGAAATGGTAGATTTTTCCTTCTTTAATATATCTGAAGTAATATAACTTCATTATACCTTATTATAGCCCCTGCTTTAAAAGTGGGAGGGTATACTGTAATCGTTATGTCCGTCCGTCTGTCTGTATGTCTGTCCGTCCGTTTGTCTGTTATGCTTTGGGGTACCCATCTCTTATCCGCAACTCCTCTTATGCCACTGAGTGAAATTGAATGAAACTTTTGCAGAATTTTTTTTACACATTGCCATTGTACACCTCCTATTTGTTACTTTTTGATCCGACACACCGACACGGGTTTCCCGGCCACAGCAAAACATGGACATATAACCATATAGGAGGCGGGGGGTATCATTTAGTGAGCTCATTGCTCACAGTACCTCTAGTTTTTTTTTTTTTTTTTGCTATCCGTTTTCGTCCGTCGTCGTGTGTCGTGCGTCGTGTGTTAACATTTGAACATTTTCAGCTTCTTCTCTGAAACCACTTAACCAATTTCAACCAAATTTGGTATACAGCATCTATGGGTGAAGGGGAACAAAAATTGTGAATTTTATGGTCCCCGCTCCCCCCCCCCAGGGGCCTGAGGGGTGGGACCAAAACCACTAAAATTAGGGTCAGGGGTTCTAGTGCTAGGGCGGGGCTATTTATATTATATAGAGAAAATGTGCATGATTTCTTTGAAAATCTTCTCTGCTCCTGGGTAATAAATAAACTAACTAAGCAAATAGTTATGATGAGCAAGAGTGCCTCTTCCAAAATTGTGAATTTTATGGCCCCAGGGGTTTTGGTGTTAAGGCGGGGCTCTATTGGTTATATAGTGAAAATGCATTAATTTTTTGAAAATCTTCTTCTCTGCTTCTGGGTATTAGATAAACTATGTAAGTAAATAGTTATGTTGATCATCAAGAGTGCCTCATCCAAAATTTTGAATTTATGGTCCCAGGGTCAGGGGCTTTGGTGTTAGGGCAGGGCTCTATTGATCATATAGTGAAAATGCATTTATTCTTTTAAAATCTTCTTCTGTGCTCCTGAGTATTAAATAAACTTAGTACATAGTTATGATAAGCAAGAGTGCCTCTTCCAAAATTGTGAATTTTATGGCCCGAGGGTCTTGGGTTCTGGTGTTAGGGCGGGACTCTATTGATTATATAGTGAAAATACATTAATTCTTTGAAAATCTTTCCTTTGCTCCTGGGTTTTATGCCAATGATCCAAATATATATATTCATGATGAAGAAAGGTGACCTAGAAAAATGGTAAATTCTATGCACCCCGCCCCTTCCCTGGGTCGGGGGTGAGGGGGTGCAAAGTCTGAAAATAAATTTAATGCTTTGAAATCTGCTCTTTGGTGTTAATCAACCATTTTATGATAAAATTTGCAAAATTTTGAAATATGTGGCCCCAGGATCAGTGGTTCCTTTGGGATGAGATGCACAACTGGTTATAAAGTGGAAGTGCATTTTCTCTTAATGTTACTCTGATCTACCTCTGGGTATTAATTAAATAGAGTAAGCATGCTAAGTCTATATATGTCGCGCACAGAATTGAGGCTGATTTTGTAACGTCAACATATACTTTGCTGACGTTATTGCATACGTCGTTTGAGCGTAAAAACGTAAAAAATTAAAGGCGTAACAAATTAGACTAGACATCCAATTTTTGCTACCGTTTTCTTAAAAATGTCTTATTATGTTCCCCAAACGAAGTTTGGGAACATATTGTTTTTACTTTTTCTGAATTTTTTCTTTGTTCTCCGGTACTTTTTTGTCCGCGAGTGTTCTCGTAAACTACTCATCCGATCTAGGTGAAACCTTTTTAGGGTCACTAGGTATGTTATGTAGATGTGCGGAACGAAGGTCATTTTGCGCGCACGTGCGTGCATGTGCGCGCACGTGTAACACGTGAAATGACCAATATAATAGATTTAGCCGTAACTTTTTAAATATTGG